TGTGGGACAAAGCAGATCTCCACAAACAGAACGGCAAAACCCAACGCCGATAAATATTCAGTGCGTAAAGGAAAGAGGAAACCACAGGACTACGGGGATTCAGACACTCAGACACACCTGGCAATGTCCCAGACTGGGAGAACTGGCATGGGTTACTGACAGACAGGCGGTGCTGGCCAAGTGAAAGAGAAGCCGCTCCACTCTGAAAACAGGAAGATAAACCTCCTACTCAGCCAGCCACCTGGGCTCCTTGAAGTACCCAGGAGAACATTAGGCGTTTGTGTTAGAGGTAAGGGGCACTGGTCAGTCACCACTCAGGGATGTGAGTGAAGTGGACAACATCCCCACACGGCGACTGTTTCACAACATGGGCATGAACCATTTCTAGGGGTACTTTACTCCGATATCACTGGAGGCTGATGGACCTCCCCACCCTCCCTCCTGTTCTAATTATGCTCAGTGGATTGGCCTTTTAAGACGGTAGTTAACTTCTGCACTGTCCACGTTATCCAATTTTAACTGTTTTCAATGCTTCTCTTATTTCTAACTTTGGAGCATCTAAAACATCTCAGTAGGAGGGCATTTCCCTATGAAATAATTAGTAGGAGTAATAATTATTTATAGGCTCTTAATGTAATTCCATACGGAATGTGTTTTCATTTAAGTTATATTTTACAAAACAGCTAGATCTCCCCCAAAAGTGGCTTGAGAACTTTATAAGGACATCATGAATGAAAAGGTATTGCTTGGCACAATAAATATGGGAGATCAGAGTACCTTCTAAGCCTGAAATTAATCACTCCAATAGCATACAGCAGTTTTTACAGCAAAGCCTGAAAGGTGACGAACACGCACGCTGCTGGATGTGGCAGACAGGAAGGGCCGTGGGTAGAGGGGAGACTCCGGGGTTGGACGTCTCTATACTCACTGGCTGTGTGACTCTTGGTGAGTCCCTTCACCTTTCTGAGCCCTGGCTCTCCTGTAAGATGGAGAAACCCAGTCTTCTGCATCTAATCAAATAAAGGATACAAAACGCCTTGCCCAGGACACAGCACACGACAGGACTGCAGGTGTTAGATGCCCGGAGGCGGGTGTGAGAACATTCCACTGGCTTGGAGGCGGACAGGAAGGTACTAGGACGCAGATGCGGTGATGTGCAGTGAAGATGGAGGAGAGATACCAGGAAGGGGAGAGTGGGGTGGGAGGAGAAATGAACTCCACACCCATGGAGCCTTGGCGTATGGGAGCTGCCACTGAGCCAGGTGCCCAGAGACTTTGGAGTGAGCTTTTGCTGCAACAAAAAACTCTGGATCATTTTGCAAATCTCCCGTGAGGTGCCAATATGTTGCAGTGCCTTCCAGGCTCTGACTGTGATGTGATTCATCCCAGATAAAGCATGAACACGCTCAAGCTGGCGAGCAGCTGGGAAAACTGGGGTCGATGGAACCAACCTTGAGAAACACAAGAAGGTGGTATCTGGTGAGGTACCAAGTCAAAGCCCTGCACGGAGACCAGGCAAGGAACAGCCTGGAGGAAACCAATGTGCACAGGCCCAGGCTGGGGATGCAGGAGGAGGGCAGGGGGCCCCGGCTCCCCGCAGGTTGCTACGGCAGCTCTCATAAGCTCTGCACTCCGGTAACGGTGCGATGGTGTGAAATGGTAACGACGGCTTTCGGTGCTAAATCTGAGCTTCCATAGTCAGAATCTAGGGCAAATGAGGAATGTGGGACAGTGGGGTTCACAGAAAACAAGTGTGTTAACAGACCAGAGATGATAAAAGGGTTGAGTTTCTTCCGTCTCTAAAATCTGACTGGAATGTCTGAAACTCCATGTGAGTGTTAGTTTGGTTTTCAATCCCATTCTCTTTGCTCAGGTCCCTGACAGTGAATGTTTTGGGGGTAATTCTTCCTCTGGAGGTGCTGTTTGCTGGTTGTCCTAAAGTCACTCTACAGCGGAATGAAACTACACCACGACAAATTCCTCGTCGGAAACTGACTCACAGGGACCCAGTCATGGCTCAGAAAGCAAGACAGACAAACTAAAAGGTGGGTCTTTGTGATCATCCCATTTAACCTTCTCTGTTAAAGACGAGAAAACTGAGGCACCAAATGGATTAAGAGACTTTTTAAAGTCCCACAGTGGATGAGGACAGATCCAGGAATTTCTGCCTCTAAGCATCAAAAAAACATGGGATAAATCCAGATGAATCTGTTCTCATATATGAGGAAAAGGAAGACACCTTTTAAAATGCTAGGTAACTGGGTTTCGGCATTACCTTCCAAGATTGGTTTAAACATTAGCAACGCGTTGTACAAGGTGGTTATTGACACCATCACTTGAGATACTGGGATGTGACTTTTCTAGTCTAAATACGACATCAAATGGGCAAGATTTTACGAGTCTGACACTCTGTTGCTAGACCTCAGTACTCTTCCACGCTCACCGTGGGGGCAGAAATTGGCACGTCTGCTAGGGATAACTTCTGGGAAACAGCTTCCCAAACTTTAAGTTCATCTGCCCTTAGAATCAGTGAGTCCACTGCTAAGATTCTGCCCTGTGGTGCACTCACAAAAGCATGGATCACGAACGCTCACTGAAGCAGAG